TTCTTCTTCTTCTTCTTCTTCTTCTTCTTCTTCTTCTTCTTCTTCTTCTTCTTCTTCTTACCAAACATGACGTAGAAGAGCCCCCCGACAACAGGATCCGGGATGGTGACAAAAAGAGCGCCAAACTTGCCCAGACAGCCCAGGAGGATCATGATGACGCCAGCCAGCTGTACGACGATTCGACTGCCCACCTGCACACATTATATAAAACACAATTGATAACGACATTGGTATCCTTTCTTATAGCTGTTATTGCAGAGGGTATGCTCTTTGCCAACGCACGCAGAAGATGTGAGTTTTTAGTTTTAGTAAGTGTTTTACGGCACTTGCAACACAATAATTTCATATAAGTGCCGAAGATTAGAGGTGTTACAAGAGAGTAACAAACACGAAAAAGAAGGACGGGAGAAAAAGACGATAGATGTTTGATAGGAAAGAAGAAGCAAACCAGACCAGAGCATCCGCCAACCACCCACAGATGTGAGTTTGGTTCCCGAGTATGGAATTATAAAAGAACCCGCAAAAACCCATTCCGAAACCACCCCCACCCCACAAAAAACAAAATTAAATTGAAGTACCCCAATGTGATACTTGGGAAACATGGAGGAGATGCATGGAAAGGGACATGATAGAAATGAAGCTCACTTGGAACGAGCTTGGAAGGATGGCTCAGGACAGAGATAAATGGAAGGAGCTCGTATGTGGCCTATACCCTGCCAGGGGTGAAAGGCATTGATGATGATGATCCCAATGTGTCCTGAATGTGAGGTGGGATGGTAGATCTTTCTCGATCAGTGTTAGACCTGGCTGGCAGAGTCATGCAGCCCGCTTCCTAAACGATCTAAACTGTGTCTATGGATTTATAAAACTATTGCAGTTACGCTATTCATTTATCATCAGGAGATTACATGTTATCGACACAGCTTTTTTCTTCACACACATAAAAAAAAACTTTCTAGGATTTAGTACGAGTTTTAAGGAACGTGCAACATACACACGTGTAAGTCATTTAAGTGCCAAAAATTAGCAGTTTTTGCAAGAGAGTAGCATACAGAGAAAGAAATAGGAGAGATAAGGACAACATATTCTTTATGGGACAGAAGGAGCAAACCACACCCGAGCACCCGCCAATCACCCATTCACTCAACGGCAGTCGTAGAAAATCCACAGGTTTTGGAACGCACACACACCGGAGAACCACAAACAACACAATACAGGAGCTTTAAGCCAAGTATGGACACATATCGGACTGCCGGCCCAACACGGCCCGTGGGTAGTTTCAGCCTTGCCAGTGAGTTGATCCTGTGAGTCCATTAATAACCTCCTTGACCTTATAGCTTTCTATTAATAACCTCCTTGACCTTACGACCTATTAATAACGTCCTTAACCTTTGCAAAGATTCTCTACTACGATCTTTGACCATATGACCTTCTATTAATAACCTCCTTGACCCTAGGATCTTCTATTAATAACGTCTTTGACCCTGATCTTCTATTAATAAACTCCTTGACTTTTTAGGACCTTCTGTTAATAACCTCCTTGACCTTACGAGCTTCAATTAATAACCTCCTTCACCTTGACCTTTTATTTAATAACATTCTTGACCTCAGAACCGTCTATTAATAACCTCCTTAACTATAGGGCAATCTATTAAGTCCTTAACCATAGCACCTTGTATTTAGTCATTAACCTTAGGACCGTAGTATACTAATAACCTCCTTGATCTTAGGACTTCCTATTGATAATAATAATAATAATAATAATAATAATAATAATAATAATAATAATAATAATAATAATAATAATGATAATAATAATAATAATAATAATAATAATAATAATAATAATAATAATAATAATAATAATAATGATAATAATAATAATAATAATAATAATAATAATAATAATAATAATAATAATAATAATAATAATAATAATAATAATAATAATAAATGACATTTATATAGCGCTCAACCCCGAATAAAGTACACAGGCTCTGAGCGCTTTACAATACAGTACAACATACAACAACAGTAACATGAAACGTTGTGTTCTGACTAAAGAAAATTATTCTAAATATTCATCTTATTAATTTAAAAACAGAAACGACTTCAGCTGACATTTGAATGAATCAAAATATTTGATTTCTCTCAACGTACTTGGTAAAGCATTCCAGGTCTGGGGGCCTTGGTATTCAAATGCCCTTTCACCCATTGTTTTAAGTTTCATAGATGGTAAAATAAATTTCTTTTTGTCAGCTGATAACCTCCTTCCTTGACCCAGTTTGTCCTGACCTTCGTGATGCCGATGGCGCCGATGTTCTCGCTGTAGGACGTGTTGCCCGCCCCTGTGCCCCAAGCCCCGGCCAGCAGACACGTAATGCCTTCCATGCCGATACCTGAGGATGAAACAAGGAGATTAAAAGTAATCTAAACTCCTTGGGATGAAAGCATAGAATGGCACCTTGTTGTAGACTGAGGGCGAAGCAAACCTCCCTTTTTTCTTCTCTTTTTGACGTTTTCTCTCACGTTCTCTTTCTTTTTTTCTTTCTTTCTTTCTTTCCTTTCTTTCTTTCTTTCTTTCTTTCTTTCTTTCTTTCTTTCTTTCTTTTTTCTTTCTCTCTCTCTCTCTCTCTCTCTCTCTCTCTCTCTCTCTCTCTCTCTCAAGGGATCTGTAACGTGCGCAACTTGCATACGGGCCCTCTGAGATGTTTCGCCCTCGTCCGAGAAGGCTAGGTGTAGATCTTTTCTACCATAAGATCAGGGGAGTGGCTGAGAGACAGCAGTAAGAAGGAGCCAAGTAGAAAGGCTATAGAAAGAGTCAGGAGCCCAGAGGAGAGGGGGCAAAGGAGGTGAGGGGGTGGGGACAGAAAGAGGATTCGAAAGCAGACGAAAGAACATTGGTTGAGAGCAGGAAAGAAGGTGAAAGGAGATAATTTTAGAGAAGAAAATTTTTTCGGTCGCTACCCGGATTCGAACTCAGGACCTTTGAATAAGAGACCAACGCATTAACCTCTAGGCCACGATAGCCCCCCGAACTCATGTGGTGTATGCGTATGACGGTGCGCCGCCTAACTGCCGCTCCACAAGGCAACGTTTATTACCCTCTCGAGTTACTGCACTGCAAAAATTCCCAATAGAGCAAAAGTTCATAATAGTAGCTTACGCTGCTCTTGTCTTCTGCATTGTTCTTACTACTGTAAAAACCGACATGAGGAGCCCCCTCCCAACCCCCCTCCAAAAACAACCACCCCCCAAAAAAAACAACAACAAAACAACCCCCCCCCCCCCATAGATAGTTTATCTTTTAAAAAATGAACACAAATACGCAGTAAATGAAAACCTAAAACATAAATAGATACCGAATAGATACGCTTATGGTAAAAACATTTTAAAAATATATAAATGAAAATAAATACATACATAAATAAAATAGATAGTGACCTCACCTCTATTTACAGCACTGCTTGGAGGGGGTGTCGCCCCGGACAATCTTGCGCATGCGTAGTAATCTCCCACGGACTCTATGATAGAGGCGACAATGGCGGCGATCATTCCCAACAGTGCCGCCACAGTCACAGAGGGCTTGCCCCATTGACCTGGAGAAAAACCAACTCAACTTGTGAGTATTTTTTAGTTTTCTATTCTTTTTCTTTCCTTTTCTTTCTATGTGTCTTTCTTTCCCTCTGTTACGGTGGGCTTGCCCCATTGACCTGGAGAAAAACCAATCCAAGTTGTGAGTATTTTTTTCGTTTTCGTTTTCTTTTCTTTCTATGTTTTTCTTTCTATCTGTTACGGTGGGCTTGCCCCATTGACCTGAACAAAAACTAATCCAAGTTGTGAGTATTTTTTTCGTTTTCGTTTTCTTTTCTTTCTATGTTTTTCTTTCTATCTGTTACGGTGGGCTTGCCCCATTGACCTGGAGAAAAACCAATCCAAGTTGTGAGGATTTTTTTCTTTTTGTTTTGTTTCGTTTTTCTTTTCTTTCTATATGTCTTTCTTTCTATCTGTTACAGTGTTCAAGTTGTGCGTATTTTTTTCTTTTTCTTTTTCTTTTCTTTTATTTCTATTTATATATCTTTCTTTCTATCTGTTACTGTAGGCTAGCCCCACTGACCTGAACAAAAACCAATCCAAGTTGTGATTATTTTTTTTCTTTTTCTTTTCTTTTCTTTTCTTTTCTTTTCTTTCTATATGTCTTTCTTTCTATCTGTTACAGTGGGCTAGCCCCATTGACCTGGAGAAAAAGCAATCCAAGTTGTGAGTATTTTTTTTCTTTTTGTTTTGTTTTGTTTTGTTTTTATTTTCTTTCTTTTTATCTGTTATCTTGTGATATTTTTTTTCTTTTCCTTTTCTTTTCTTTTCATTCTATATGTCTTTTTTTCTACCTGTTACCTTTTTAATATTCCTTTTTCTTTTTCTTTTCTTTTCTTTCTAGATCTATGTCTTTCTTTCTATCTGTTACCGTAGGCTTGCCTCACTGACCTGAACAAAAAAAGCAAATAAAAAAGTTTTGAGATTTTTTTTTCTTTGTTTTTCTTTTCTTTCTATATGGCTTTCTTTTTGCCTGTCTGTCTTTCTTTCTGTTCGGAAGAGGAAAAGGAGTAAACGGTTGGGGGGGGGGGGGGGGGGGAGGGAGAGGGAATAGAAGGCAGTCGAGGCAGGAATAGACCCCGAGCAACTTACTTGGAACACCTTAACAGACGGGTTAAGGGGAGATGTACCCCCCCCCCGGAAAATTTCTAAACGAATTATTTTTATTCACTTTTCTGTAATTGTGCAAGAAGTTAACAGGGAAAGAGGATGTACTAAAGGTGAATTTGTTGATTTTTCCACCTGAAAAATGGGTCTCTGTGGTGTCCATCTTGGATTTTCAAACCAATTTCATAGTGCAGAAGAATTTCATAGAAAATATTGAAACTACAGCCTGTAATTTGGCACACAAGTACACACCTATATGGACTGTAGATTTATTGGAGGATTTTGACTTATCTCTAGAAATAAAAAAAACGTGAGCCCAAAGTCAGTGGACCCCTGAGAGTCAGACGATGAAACTTTGGGGCATATGTTAAAAAAATTGAATATTTCCACAAGTCACCAATAATTCCCAATATCCTCAAAGGGATCTTCATAATAGATATTAAAGCACATGTTACCAAATTTGAAGCTTCTAGCTTTTGTAGTTTAAAAAAATCTCTTTACACCAAGGAGGTCACCTAGGTTGAAAGAGCAGATTTTGAGAAAAACAGAAAAAAACAAGAATTTTGTCAAAGGACTTTTAGTTCAATATTCACATTTCAAAAGCCCTTTCAGGTCATTTAGGTTTTTTTCCCAACAGTTTCGTCGTTGTCACCCGATAAAACAGATGTCAAGGGATGTTTTTCCGTTTAAAAAAATCGATATTTTGAATTTTAAAAATTGTCATTCTCTGGGATAGCCAACCCGGGCTTAAGGGGAAAGACGAGGATAATAACATACGTTCTTTGAGGGCATCAGATCAGGAGAGAAGTCGAGAGAGACACAGTAGGAACAATATCACTCCTCTACCACAATAGACGACAGCCTTGACGATATGGCCGAAACCCAAAAACCTCTTTTTGAACGGTGTATCACTTGCGGATGGGGTAGGGTAGGGTGGGGGGGGGGGCATGAGTACACTTGCACGGTTATTTGCTTTTTTGTGAGGGCCGAGGAACAGCGCAAGTGTTCATCGTGGTGGATTCCTTCTTAGGAATAAAAGGTGGGGATTAAGATGGAAGCCACAAGGAAAGACGAAAAAGGGAAGGCCTAAAAGAAGTAACATACTATACTATATATTTCAACGCCATTAAAATGCGCAAAGAGTCGAATAAAATTTTACCCCTCCCCCCTCCTTCCCCAGCCACAAGCACACGTTTATTAACATCAGTTTTATGGAACTTGCAACGCAATTAGGTCATAATAGCTTCAAAGAATAGATGTGTTACAAGAGAGCAACAAACACAAAAAAGAAAGAAGAGAGATAATGACGATGTAACTTTGATAGGAAAGAAGGATGAAACCACACCAGAGCACTCGCCAACCACCACCACCACCCCCCCACATACACTAGGTAACGAAAAAAATAATTATAATATTGTACTTAATTCTTTTTTTTTTCTAGACTCACCTGGGTACGGAAAGCGGAACCATTCGGATTCCTCCAGTACTTTGATCTTGGTATCTGTGCGAGCTCCGTAACCCCATTTCTTGGGGTCATCAGTGAGCACGTTTGTTTCCGTGAGAATAACGCAGACCACCCACGACACAATCACTGCCATCAGCACCTGCGACATTCAGTTTGCTGAATTGTATCGTACAAACACACACGAATACAGACATTCAATTGATGCAATTGAAGGCAACCACAATTTTCCTTCACGGTTGGGAAAAAGCTATTATTTTGTCACTACTTGATCAAGGACATCTCACTTCGAACAGAGCTGAAGATTTCAAAATTTCAAAATCATATGAAGTCAGTCCTGTTGAATGGATGTGAGATATGGAACGCATCTCAGACTTGCACAAAGAGGATTCAGTTTTTCTTGAACAAGTGTCTAAGGAAGTTACTGAGGATCAGATGGACAGACATGGTCACCAACGGAGAAGCATTAAGGAGAACAAGCAAAATCCGGTCAGAGATGAGGTGGGAAGAAAGCAGTGGCAATGGATTGGACATACTCTGAGGAAGTCTAGCAGCTGCATAACAAGGAAAGTGCTGGATTGTAATCCATGAGGTAAAAGATCAAGGGGAAGACCACGTGGAACCGGAGAAAAGTCACTGAATGTGATGGACAGAAAAGTGTGAAGACATGGAATAACATCTAGAGGCTAGCCCAGGATAGGGAAGAATAGAAAGTGTCTGTTCGTGGCCTGTACCCAGATCAAGGATGAGAAAGAAAATGATGATGATGATGATGATGATGATGATGATGATGATGATGATGATGATGATGATGATCATGATGATGATGATGATGATGATGATGAAATCCTACTTTCTCCTAAAGAAAAAAGTTCTTGATTGTCTTGGTCATCATTTATTTCATGTCATACGTTTGAGGAAAACAATCAATCAGAAGGATGTTGCGCTTTGCAGGGTCAGATCTTTTTCTTGTGACATGCTCAAACAAACTTCCAGGTCAAATTTGATGACGCAAAACTCAAGGCCAAATGGATATAAATGCTGCGTTAATTAGAGGCGTCGGAAGCCTAGTGGTTAGGCTGCCGTAGGCGTAATCGTAAGATTGAAGGGTTCGGGGTTCGAGCCTCAGCTCGGTCATATGATGTGTCCTTGAGTAAAGAACTCCACAGGAATTTCCTATTTGACTCGATCCTTTCGGAGATGGACGTGACATCCAGAGGTCCCACCTCTTGAATAACGTTATAGTATTGATCTGGGCTTTTAACATCTACCATTTCACAATTTTTTTCAGAGTAATTAATCAGTCGACCAGCCTTCATATGTATTAAACAGACAGTGAGCACCAGGCAGTACTCAGCTACTATCATCGACTTGCACTCCCAGATTAGACCGCACACTGTCATGGCCGCCATTCTTCGCTCTTTACAAAATCTTGTCTGCGTAGTGGGTACACAGCGGGCCGCGTCATTCTTCACAAACAGAGAGCAAAACACCAGTCTCGTGTTCATTGCGAGCACCTTTGCTCTCCCTGCCCCC